TTATTTCTTTGGGCATTCCGGAGTCGTTACATAAACTCTTAATTGTTTCCGTCTTTACGATATATATTCATTTTCTTTAAGTTTTGTGCTTTTACAATATTATTATTATGACAAAAATAAAGTAATTTGTACTAATATATTATAGATTTTATGTATGTATATTCTTCTTTCCTATAATATAGATAATAACTTAATCAAATTTTAATTTTAATTTGAAAATTGATACATTAATTTATGAAGGAAGAACAATTACTTTTCATGTTGATTAATTTACTTTTCATTTATAACATACATATACAATTTATCTCAAACTTAATAAAATATAATTAAAATTTATTACATGATTGAATATATCTTTCTCTTCAAATAAATTTTTCAATACATCAATACATTCTAATATAATATATCACTAAACATATTTAGGCTATATACAAAGCAAACATTGTTGCTATAGTAATCATTTATTTTTACCATGACGAGGTGGAGAATTTTAATTGGAAAGAAGAAGAATTTCCAATCTTTATTTTGGTGCATGTAACAACTCAATAATCTTTTGATTTCATGATTAAATTCACAGAACATGTTTTTGTTACATATGGCACAAAACATTATAATATAAAAAAAAAAGACGTGTCGTTGAATAAATCCACGAGGCATAATGGGTAGAAAGAGAAGTGAGAGAGCATCGGAGAGAACGCAAATTTACTTATTTATTATAGAATAACTTTTGTATTAATAATTTAACAAAAATTTATCGGATAAAAGCATATGTTAAATTTTATATTAATCAATGATAATGTCAAAATGACTATACAATAAAAAATTCATAGAGAAAATAAATTTTATATATAAATATGATTAAAATTATTATTATTATTAAAAAAAATAAGATCGTTTTTATATAATAATGTATGTAGTTTATTTTATTTTATTTTTATTATTTTTAATTATTAAATAACTATCATGTACGTGAATTAATAAAGAGTATCTTTATAAAAAAAATTAAAATTTGTTCTATATAATAACAATAATTGAAAATATAAATAATTAAAACAATAAAAAATTTGTTGTACTTTAACAAACAAATAAATACAGTTGTAATTTCTAAGCAATTTATTTTAACAATAATGAGTAATATTCTTTTATTAAAAGACAAAATTGACAGAAGGAAGAAAAAGGGAACTGCAAACAATGTTACAAAGCATAAACCTTTCTTTAGCCCTAATTTCTTCTTTCCCTTTTCCCTTCCTCTCCATCCCTGTTCCTGCTAATCTCCTATCATTTCTCTTTCTGTTGCCATCTGATGCCGCCACATCTTCGCTACAGATCATGACAGTTACCATAAATGCGATCAATCGGGTTTGCTTGACTTGCTTACCCTTCTTATTTCTCTCTTTGCCCTCTTATAATCACACCAATTTCTCACTCTGTGATCCACTCGTCTAATCTACTGCTCTCGCATCATCCCCTACTTCTTCCAAGCTGTTAGTTTTGGTGACCATTGACATTTTTGGAGTATTTTTTTGTTCGATTTTTCATTTTTTTTGGTGGTTTCGGTTTGATTCCAGCTATGGAAGAGAGGAGTAGGGGTTTATAAACGGAAACTTGAGAAAAGGTGGCCAGAGAGAAAGCGAGATTTTTAAGGTTCGTTGTTTTATGGGTTCTAAGTATATCGCGAGATGTTTAACCACGACATTTTTACTGAATTAATTCTCAGAAGCATGCTTCTCTTAAGAAATGTTCTTGATGTTCTCGGGTTTTCGCTGTTATCACTGGTTTTGTTGACATTCTGCGGAGTTGAACAGCTTACCCTATTAGCTTGGTTCAAAGTTACGTGCTTAATTCGGGACTGTAATGTGCTTTTAATTCAAAATGTTGAACATATAACGTGTCTATGAACGTTATTTTGTATATATATGGCAACCAAGTGGGGAGGAAAGCCGCGAAGTTTTTAGAATGAGAAACAATGGTGGAAGTTTGATGCTTCTAATTTGTTTTCCTTCGGGCAATTTTATCAAATTTCTTCATATCATTTGCATACCAATGATTTTTTCTTTTTTGTGCACTGTCATGTAGGTGATATTTGGATGATACAGAAGGTCTTCCAGGCTTGGTCTTAAGATGAATCGAAAAACTAGTGGGGTTTCTAGAGGTCAGAGGTCAAAGAATTTTCATGGTGAGGGGCCAAATTGGATTCTTATTGCAGGTGGCGCCCTGTTGAGTACTTTGTCAATTCGCCTTGGTTTCAAGCTGAAGCAAGCACTTGATTCAAAGCAGCAAGCAAATGCTACCAGCAGCCTGAAAGGTCTTTTCGCATTTATGGCATCAATCTGCTATTACTCTTCTTTAGCTTGTAGCTCAATTTCTAAATTTTCAAGTTTGCTATTCAGGGAAGGGGACTTCTGACAGGAGGAGGTCGCAGGGTTGCCATTTGCGCTCAAATATGTATTCCTTTACACAGGATGTGGATGTTGATGGTTGCTTCAACTGTATTTCAGGTTTTGGACGTTGATGTATTTTACTCTCAAGTAGGATTCTCTGAGCATTATTTTTATTTTGAACTGCTCAAGGATCAATTATAAGTTAATGATATAGTAACTAAAGTATTATCTTGTTTTTATATTTGGCACTCTTGATCAACAAATGGATATAAGATTTTTGCTTTATCTATTAATATGATTAGATTTGCGTATTCGACCAGGACCAAATCATCCATGGTTTGTGTTATCATCCATTTTCGCCAATAACAAACACATAATAAGATCAAAGTTATTCTCATTTCCTTTCTGAGGTGCATCCAGAGGATGTAATCTTGTTTGGACTATCTAGTAATTCCTGGTTGAGTATATTCTGACTTAACTCTATATCCTGGAAGTGTGGTTACTTCCTACTAAATCACTGCTGGTTTGTTTTGCATTTCACGATACAGCTGTTGCCACAGCTACTTACATCAACCTATTTGCATTTTCCACACTTTTGTCCTCCAAAACATAGGGAAAGGGGTCCTTTGCCATAGGGAATTTTTCATCAGTATGTGGGGCGGTGATTGGTTTAAGGTGAAACAATGTTGAAGGAAACAATGAGATTATAAAATCTTAGAGGCCTGTTTGTTGAGGTGTCAAATCCTGCATTTGTTTGTTTCCGGAAGCAGAAAATACAGGAACAGAATACAAATAAGTTCCAGTGAACATAGCTTGAGAATGAATGGATTATAATGTATTTGAGGACCTATTTGCTAAGGTGTCAAATCCTACATTTTGTTTTGTTTCCAGAAATAGAAAACCTTGAAAATAGATAACAAACATGTCTGGCAGAACTTTCTGCATGTAATTTTGAAAATTTGACTGCAAAAGTATGTTCATGTACTTGGCCTTCTCGTCTTTACCTTATCCAACAGATCTACTTTTAGAGTTTATTTATAATGTTAGTTTCTAACATAGTGTCAGGACCAGCAACCAGCGGTAACCAGCCACAATTAATTTGATTAATGGTTAATTCGTTAATCATAGATTAGTTACAAATGTGGTCTTAGGGTTGTACTGCCTCTGGCAGATTTGTTTTCTTTTCTCTTTCTGCAGATTTGCTTTACTTTTCTGTTATAGCTTTTGGTTCTGTTTTGTCTTACATGAGTAAGGGATGGTAGAAAAGGGAATGCAAGGCAAAATGAGAAAGCAAGAAGAAACATTTTACCTAATTTTCAGAATAGAATCAGCAACGATCTTCTATCTTTTCTCTACTCTCCTCTCCTATTCTTCTTCTCTTCTTCTACTTTTCTCTTCTTCTTTCTCTACCCTAAACATAAACCCTAAATTTCTTCTCCAACGAGATTCAAGATCGAAGGATCCGTTTTAGAAAAAATTCAAAGAAAAATGTCTTTTTTGAAAATTAGGATCAGTTTTGGAAAACATAATATCATCTCGAGTCAAATAACACTTGGCTTTCAGGTCCATGCTGCTTCAGAACCAGTTTCAGTTGTTTTAGAAAAAATTCAAGATCTAAGGATCCGTTTTAGAAAAAATTCAAAGAAAAATGTCTTTTTTGAAAATTAGGATCAGTTTTGGAAAACATAAATATCATCTTGAGTCAGATAACACTTGGCTTTCAGGTTCATGCTGCTTCAGAACCAGTTTCAGTTGTTATATCTGCCAAAGCCTAGGAGTATTATTTTTCAATGGAGACTGAAGGCAAAGTTTGTTATTTAGATTGCGTGGTAGCTAAGAACTTTTTCTTTGTTATAGTGACGAGATGCTAAATAGATAGGGCTTTTTTGCTGCCATTTTGCTATTTTGCATAATGTTAACACCTTTCACCCATATTATGATGTTATTTGGGATTTCATACAGTTCTGGTAAAGAGAAGAAGCTACTATCTGCAATCTCACCTTGTTTCCAGCCAAGATAAGCTTAGTACTATCTTTTCTATGCTGATATGCTTTTTGAACTGGCTCAAAATCTCTTTTCAAATTTCTTTTTGGTATTGTAACTTCCTTTTGATTTCTGAGCCAATGGAGAGTGACTAACGTACTTTTCTTCTAACACAATTTGGTCCTTTCCTGTTGGTGCTTAAGTAGAGCATTTTGGTCTTATGTTACATCTAAAGATCATGTGTGGAGGCTGATTATTTTATCACTTAGTGAGTTAACTGTTTTTGTTAATTAATACTTATTTGAGATACAGTCTGATATTTTCTCTGTCCTGACATGCAGTGTTTTGTTGATTATTTATTTTTCAAACATGTGTGTCTCTTATTCAAGTTTGGGTTGGGTTGGCAGCAGGAACTGAGGGTGTTCAGATGAAGCACGCACCCAACAGCCAGGTGCTGTCTGAATCTGATGTATGCCTGCCTTTGGTGGCAGTTACCACCCCCGAATTTAACAAGGAGAATGGAGTTATTTGGGCATCATCTCCTGATCGCCTTGAAATGCCTCCAAAGCCATTTCATCATTCAAACTGTTCAGATTCTCCATGTGTCTCAGAATCTGGGTCTGATATCTTCAGTAAACGAGAAGTGATACATAAACTACGGCAGCAGTTGAAGAGAAGAGATGATATGATGCTGGAGATGCAGGATCAGATTATGGAGTTGCAGAATTCACTTAATGCTCAGCTTGCACACTCAAGTCATTTGCAGTCACAACTTGATGCTGCTAACAGGGACCTCTTCGACTCTGAGAGAGAAATACAGAGGCTTAGGAAGGCAATTGCTGATCACTGTGTAGGGCATAAGAGTTCAAATGAGAAGGCTTCCCAAGTTGCAACTTGGGCATCTGATGCCAGAAATGGCCATGCAAATGGATATGTGGATGGGGAAGGGAACTATGAGTCCTCACCTGGAAGGGGAGGATTTGATGGGGAGAGAATTGATATGTTGAAGAGGGAAGTTGGAGAATTGAAGGAAGTAATAGAGGGGAAGGAGTATTTGCTACAGAGCTACAAAGAGCAGAAGGCAGAGCTCTCAATGAAGATTAAAGAGTTGCAGCAGAGATTAGACTCTCAGCTCCCAAATATTTTGTAGGTATTATTTAGGTATTGTGAATTCTTGTTTTCTGCAATTTTTGGCCTCTCTGTTTTTGGTTCTTTGATTATAAATTCAAAAGGTTTGCAGAAAATATGTGAATATTGTAGGTACCGTTAGGGTCTTGCTTTAACCTCCGTTGTTTTCCACTATCCTTGGTTGGTTTGAATATTTAATTCCAAGTTGTGGTCTTGCCCGTGCAAAAGTGAAATGAATGTGGGATAGAAGAGAAGAGAGAAAGAAGAGACTTAGTTGCTTGGCAAATGTCTGCTTTTCTGCAATCAATTTGTCTAAAGGGGGTGAAGCACATCCTTTCATTAAGTTTGTTTATGGGCATAGAACAGCTTGTATTTATTTTCCACGGCACAGTTTACAGAAGGGGTTGCAACATTTTGATTGTCTGGGGCCTAGCTTCCTGATTAAATGACTGAAATGCATGGGCCAGAGAGACCGGAAGAGTGGTAGTCTTTCATTACAGAGTATCTCTTTTAGCATTATACAGAATATATATATATATATATATATATATGTTCAGTTGAAATAATTATAATAGATTAAAAAATTTGATAAACTTTTCTACAGTTAAAGTTAAAGAGAAAGTTAAAATTTGGGAGACTTGTAATTTGTTCCGTTCTGGTGATTAACACCTGACCGAAGTGTGTGATAAGTAGCAGCACGTGCAAGGCCCTGGGATCATAGAGAGAATAGAAATGTTTGGAATAGTTTTCCACAACTTTTTAGGGTCACTATTTGTGGGAAGTAAATATATAAAAATTCAATGGACATAATAAAAGAGGTGCATAATATAGTCTTTGTACATATTTTCACAATTATTTAGGTGATGTTATTTATAGCTTTGGATTATTGGGATTGCTATCTTTTTTCTGTTTCTCTGTATAATAATAATTTTGGATATTATTTCCTACTACTGCTAACCTTCTTCTAACTCCATAAACATTCAAATAATTTATTTATTTATTTATTTTTATAAGAGTTTATTAAGCTTATGGTTTAATACTCAATATGAAATTGGTCTCTGTATTATTTTTAAATATTTAAATTAATTATTTTTTATTCTTCAAATTATAGAAAATATGTATATTAAATCCATGTTCATCAAATATCATTAAAGTAAATTAATTGGACAAGTGATTGTTTATAATTTGAGAAATTTTTTACATCAAATAGCTTACGTGTTTTAAAAAATAATTTTTAATTTTTTTTTTTAAATAAAAATCTAAAAAATTAAAAACGTAGAAAAAGCTTGAAATAGAAAGTGAAGCAATGAAACATCAGAGAACAGCTTGAAATAGAAAGAAGCAGAGACAATAGAAGAAAGTCGTCCACCGTTGACCACTTGAGATGAAGGTGGAGGTTTTCAATGCATTAGAAGCAGTGAAGCAACGAAGAGAGCATTGCACTTGCAGTGGGAGAGACGGCCAAAGGCGTGAAATCACCTATAAAGTAAGAAGTTCGGGAAGGAATCAGGGGGATTGAGGGCGATATTGACAAGGAAGCTTTTAAGGTTTTGTTCGGGAAGAATCAGGTCTCGGGAAGAGAAGGCTCTTTCAGAGACGGCTGAGTGCGATTGGAAGGAAAGAAGAGCTGCTTGAGAGCAGAGGAGTCAAAAAATCAGAGGGAAGCTTTTGAGATTTTTAGGGTTAGCCAAGAGTGAAATAAAAGCAGACTTTTTTCGGGGGAAGGAGTGGGCTTTCGATTTCAAGAGATATCAGAGAAGAGGAAACCAAAACCAAAGTGACTTTTATGGACCTGCTTTAACGCCTTCTGTGGTTGAGGCCAAGGTCAATCCAGTTGGTATGTAAACATCGAAATTGCATTCGGCTTACACTTGTTTAGCTTATGGGTTCCTTACTGTTCTATGAACGTTGAAATAATAGTTTAATATCTCTGTGAGTGTTTGGGAAATATTATTATGTTTGTCAAATGACTAGACTTTCTCGTAAATGCATTATGGATGTTTGATTATTCCTTTGTCTGGCTTCAGTTTTCCTCACTGTCCCGTATTTTTCCATTTGTTATTAATTTTGATTGTTGTTCCAAAATTGTGAATGGCTAAAAGCTTGCAAATGTTTCCTGGGATAAACATTCTTTGTGACGACCCCTGAAACTGATTGATCTGCTGGGATATGGGGTGAAGGATTCTTGTTTTTTTATTTTTTTGTTTTTTTTAATGTTCTGCTGCAAATGCATGTGTTCATGGGGATTTGACATGAAAAAAGATAATGCTGTAGTGGCTAATGGGTGACCTTTTGAAAACATCCTTTTTGGATCATGAAATGTGATCTTAATGAAGTATTTTATATTGTATACGTTTTTACCATGTTGTAACCTTCCTATCTCATGTTTTGCAAAGATTTGCGGTTCACAACTCGTTTGGTTTGCAAAGGTTTTCATTACTGCATGCTATTGTCTTTTTTTATCAGCTATCCGATATCTCATGTTTGCATATCATAAATTTATGGTTTACTGATTGCCTCAGTTAATAACTGGGTATCAGAAAAATGAAATGGGTTATGAGTGTATGATTGAGATCATGGGGAATGACTATGAATAAGAATGTGTGTGCAAATGAAATCATTTAATAGAAAGATTGTAGTGGCAGTCATACTGATAAATTGACTGTCTAAAGAACTGATCGGTTTTAGTTGAACGTCCAAGAGTCATAGTATTCTGCTTGGCCTTTTAATGGTGTATTTTGCAGATGGGTTCTTGAAATCTCTTAAGGATTTCGTGAATGCTTTTAATATATATATATATATATATATATTCCAAAATTAGGATAGCTTGGATGTAACAATGATGAGTTTGTTGGAAGTTTGGTGGTATTCGATTTTTGAAAAACATGGAGAATTGTTCCTTTTCCCTAATGTCTGTCAGTCTTGAGAAAGTCATGTCTCAAGGGTTATATAAAAGATTAAAAAAGTTTTTTAAAAAAGGGAAAGTAGGATCTCATGCATTGCTTTTTTTTTTTTTTTTGATTTAGGCTTGCCCTCACTGTGATTCTTAACTTTTTATGCACTATCTGTCTCTAAGAAAAGAAAAATCTTTTGGATTGTGTGTTTGATTGAAAATACTGTAATGTCTGTGGCATTCCTTAAACTGCAATATATCCTTGAAGACCACCGTGAAGATCTCAACTTGCTGTTCAAGGGTGAGGGCTGATGTACGTGCGAAAAGCTACTCAAAATGCTGTTGGTACTCGACAACTGTCTCCTCCTATTTCTATTTAACCAGTTCTCCCAATTTGTTTCTGCATACAGGCGGTCCAAGTCTAAGATTGTAGTGCAATTTAAATTCCTCCCGAGAGAGCTCTGATCAGCGTCGCACCAACTTTAGGAACCATAGTTGAGCACTGTCTTCAAGGTGAAAAGAGGCTAAGTTCACCTTGTCTTATTGGGCTATTCTTTGTTGTCAGAAGAAATGCTGACACCAATTAATGCACCCAACGGATCAATGAGCAATCATATCTAGGAAAGTCTAATCTTGCAATCGAGGCACCTTATTTCCCCGTCTATATTGTTGCTGAAGTCAGCTGGCTTATTGTCTTTTCATTTTATTGAGCTGGGGGTGTCAGTATTCTCTCTCCTTGCAGCCAACAATTCCTGGGATAGACTAGTACTGCCTTTATTCTGAGCGGGCACGATCCTCCTGGTATTGCTTCACAAATGTCTCAAATTGTGCTTGGAAACTTTTGGAGTCTTCCTTGACCACTGGATCTGGTACCAATTTGTCAGGTTCTTGAGTTCTGGATCTGGTCACAGAACTTAGTAGTGTGAAATCCTGGAGCAAGGAAACTGTTTGCTTTCCTGTTTTCCTGCCTTGCCGGTTTATGGTGAGGCTTGTCCAACCGGACCTTAGATTGTTTAGGGAAAAACTTTTTGAATTAGTAACTTGATAACTTATTCATGATAATAGGTGTATCTATAGGGAAAATAATTGAATTAAATACTTATTATAAGTTTAAGAATCCTAGTCCTAGTTTTTTTCCAAATCCCAATCTAAATCTAAATCTAAATCTAAATCTAAATCTAAATCCTGAAATAATTCTAACTCTTATTAGTTCCTTAAAGAAAGTAATCAAAGTAGGTGTGTTTATAAGGAAAATAATCGAATTAGATCCCAATTATAATTTTAAGAATCATAGTCCTAGTTTTTCTCCAACTCTTAATCTAAATCTAAATCTAAATACTTAATAGATATCCTTAAATAATTCTAGTTCTTCCTTAGAGAAAGTAACTTCCTGTCCAACTATAGACTCAAATTCCTTTTCCTTGTTGGTTCCAATGGGTCCCATGCTCTACTTTTTTCTGTATTTAACATCATAACTTTTTACATTCTTCAGCAACTTGGATTAATGAACCTTTTACAAGGACTCTCTATGCACTTTAAGCACACACATAACAACTCAGGAAGAAAATTATTTTCAACTCCATTTTTTAGAGGGAGAGTGCTGCAGGGTGAGCAGAGGGAGATCGTTACAGCGGTGAGCTTTCTTTCCAAGTGCAGTGGTGCTGCTGGTCTTTTGGAGGTGAGGGTTTCAATCATGAAGTGAAGAAGATGAAGCAGATGGCTGGCATTGCAGCGGTGAGCAGAGGGCTGGCATCACAATGATGATGGTGACTTCTCTCTCTGAGCAGCGCTGCTGGTTTTTTGGAAAAGGGTTTCTTTGATCATGAAGTGAAGAAGATGGGAAGAAGGGCATCTAATGATCTTTAAATAGATATGCTGCTTTGAGGAAATTTTGGAAATAAAATGTTAAAAGCATAAGCAATTTTTGAAAAGCATATAATTTAATTTATATGTTTGTATATGTTAAAGCAGATTTTAATTTTAGCTTTGATTAAAAGTATTTTTAATTTTTCCCTTATAATTGCAAAATGTTTTGGGAACCCAATCCAAAGCTGCAGCCAAACAACCTTAGAAGAGTGGATCTTTAACTTTGTGGGTTCGTCTGACTGCTTTCTACGTTGATTGGCAGTTGTTTGTTTAAGTGTCTAATTCATTACTTTAATGTTATTGAATCTATTATAGGTATAAACAGAGCAGCAATATTAGGACAACTTTACAAAAGCAAAGATGGAGAAGATATCAGCAGCCTGTGCCATGGAATGGAGCATTGAGCTTGAGAAGGCGCTTCGATCGAAAACACATGGTTCAACAACTCTTTCAATTGTCCTTCCCTGAAATTCTCATTATATAAATTTGATACTTGTATAGTCCTCTTCAATTGGTTCTTTATATCTTGTTTAGAATATTAATGAGAGTTTGTTGTTATATTTTGTGTAGGTCGAGCTGTGGAAGCCATAACCCAGATTGGGCCAAGGCTTCAACAGTGGACTAGAGAATCAGAACCTACAGTAGCTGTTCACAGCATGTTTGGACTAATTCTGGGGGAGGATAGGCTCTTTGCCAACACCATCCTTTTAAGGCTTGCTGATGCTTTTCAGTTTGGTGATTTGCATGTTAGGCTCGCAGTGGTCAAGCTTTTCTTGTCCGAGCTTAGGCAACGACGAAAGATGAAAAGAAGTAAAAGGCTTAAAGGGATTTTGTCAAAAGGCAGGTTGCATAACCACTTGGAGCTTCTGACCAGAGTAAAGACTGTTTATGATAATGGGGATGTGGAGTCAAGGATGATGGCTTTGGTCCTCTTTGGTTGTTGGGCTGAGTTTGCCATGGACTGTGCTCAGATACGGTACTTGATTCTTTCCAGTCTGATCTCCACTCATGCTTTGGAGGTAGATTCACTGTCTTTTCAGTTTGACAATACTTTGTCTCAAATCAGAATTGCCTTTGAGAATATATTTTGTATGTCATTGTGATCATCCACTTGCTTGATCTAAATGCTTGTTTGAGCAGATTCTAAAATTTCACCTTAAAATCTAGGGTGCTTTATCTCTGTGTATTCTATTTCATGTGATTGCTCAACTATGATAGCTCTGAAGTGATGAACACAGTTGATGATGTCAACTCCTTTGTTTAGGACAAGTGCATGGCATGAATCCGATTTTGGATAATTTCAGCTTTTCAATGGATTATCATTCAGGCTGTGTCTGTAAGGATGACCTTTATTTGTGAAATTCATTTGGAAATCCATAAATTAACTATGAGATGGGAAAATTCTATCTAAAATGATACAAATTAACCTCCAAGAGTTCCAGTTAGAATTCCTATAAGGTCAATTTTTTCTCTTTCCTAATAGAAATGTCTTCCTCCTATCATTGAGCTTGGTGCGATTTTTTAAGTGAAGCTCATGCAAATATTCATTGTTCCAAATATAGGCTTAATTCACTAGACAACATATCTAGAATGAAAATGTTGGGCAGTTACAATCCACTTTCTTGCTTAAGGTCTTAAGAAGACAATTCACTTCACTCTACTCTTATTGAGCCTTTTTGGCTAGAAAAATTGAGTTAAACTGATTTTCAATTTTTGATTTGGTGTCTGCAGGTAAAAGCATCATTATTTGCTGCTGGGTGCTTCGCTGAGTTAGCTGATGACTTTGCATCTGTTCTGTTGGAGATGCTGGTCACAATGCTGACTTCACCAGAAACAATGTCAACTATAAAGTTAAGTGGTGTCCGGGTTTTTGCAAAAATGACATGTACACATTCAGTTATTTATACAGCTTACAAGGTGTTTTCACTATTCCATTTCCATTGACTTGTAGGTGTAATTACTAATTAGTACTTGGCAAATTTTTGTTTTGGCTAGATTTATATATCAACAATCGAATGCATTGCATATTCTAGCTCACACATCAGTAGCATTCTGCTTTTCTTCTCATTTGAACCACAAACATGCAGCTCGGTTGTTGTTATTTTTAACATTTAAGAGAGAAGCAGGTGGCAATGAACTAAATGGGGATTAAAACATGCTTGTTCTAAAGTAAAGTACCATTATTAACCAAACTTGAGTTCTATTAGAATAGATGTATGTTAACATTTAATGGAGAATTCTTATCTCACAATTGATTTTACTCAGGGTTGCCACATTTTATAGTAACATGCTATTAACCATCAAATTCTTGCAGAAAGGTTTGAAGTTGGTGTCAGAATCTTTAGAAGATGACCTCTTGATTGCATTGCTGGTCTCGCTCTCAAAACTTGCCTCCAAGTTAACACTTCTTGCCTCTGAGCAGGTGGGCATTTTTGCTTTTAACTTTGTTTGCATGTGTTAGTTGGAGAGAGGCTGTAGCAAGCTTATGAAAGGCTGTCAAAAGTCTTCTAGGCAGATTGACATTTTATTATCCGAGTTTTAATTGCTTTTTCTCAGCATTGAGAATAGGTTAGAAAGATAGAAGAAATTGAAGACAAGGAAAGACAATCTAATGCAAAATCATTGGGACCGTGACAACCAAGTCACGAGGTTGTCATGACCACATTTATTCTTAAGCAGTGTGTCGAACAATGATGATTCACCCGATTGTCCAAAGAGACTAATATGAAGAGAATACTCAAATAAAAAAAAAAACAATGACAAAATAAATTTTTACCCAAGAAAATATTTCCTAAATCAATAATAGACCTATTTAGTTAGTTTCTAAAAGACCTAACTACACCTAATGGTAGATAACTATTACAGTTACATAAATATCCCATAATATTGACATAGACCAATTCTAGGACAGTCCTCTTCGACAACATTCTCCCTAGGAAAAACTCGACTTGGAGTTTTGGAATGTCAAAGCAGCAAGTAGAAACTTGGACTTGTCTTCAAATATGAAATCCATAAAACATGAGATCATTGTGAGAAAACAAGAATGTTTCTAAAAACAAAGTTTTCTAAAGAAGTAGTTAACTACTTTTTGACAGGAAGAAGCAATGAACCTATTAGGCATGACAAAATCCATTAAAGGAAGTGGCTGGTATAAAATTCCATGGCCCTCAACCTGTAAAACAAGCATTGGTTAGTGATTTCCAAGACTTATCCTGGCAAAAACTCCAAGACACTCGTGTTAATCTTTGGAGAGGAAGCTTGCACAGGTCGGAGTATAAGGTTTCAGTATGTCCTACTTGTGACTTGAGACATGGGGGTGTTTGTGGGGTTTAGATGGGTGATACGTGCATATAAAGAGTAATTCTCCGACCTCCAACAAATGGGTTGGGTCTGCAGGTGTATTAGTCTGCTCAGGTGTCCTGCAATTCTTAGGTGTAAGTGCTTTGTTAAATGGAGGAGCCACTCAACTTTGCTCTGCGACCCTGATGCTAACATATCAGGTCACTCTAATGGCCAAATAAAAGGACTATTTTTCAAGTTTATGGAATGACTTTCTATTCAAATACATCTCTTCCTATTCTGCATCAAAGGCTTTTTATTTTCATTTTTTTTTTCAAGAACAGATTGAAGAAGATTCACTTTTCCATCCCCTGCAACAGATTTTCTTTCTTTTCTCACCTTATTCCTAGAATTCTTGATGATAATATAAAGCTTATGGCTGCAATCAGGGTCTTACATGAAGGAGCATCGGACTTGTATACTATTACGCAAATGATTGAGATTTATGATGATAATATTTTTATCAATTATATGACTCTGTTAAAAAAGTTCTAAAGTTATTGTTTCCTGGATGCAGATAGACTTGCTTCTGTTGTTTCTTGCTCAAGGCAAGACTTCCCATATACAAGCGGTAGCATTAAGGTGCCTCCATTTTATTGTCATAAAAGGAATGTGTTACCCTCCGGCCAGTGAGCATGTCACCAGAACATTAATTAGCATGCTAGTTAAACCTGAACTTCCACTAGTCATGCAATTTGATGCTCTAGAGATTTTGGAAAAGGTAACTTTTTTACTCAAGTTTTTCAATTTAATAACATTTAAAGTTTTTTAATGTAAGTTAGGTAAAATGCAGATTCTTTCATATAAATTATGTCCTGTCGACATGTTGGGATTTGCTCAGCTGTTAACCATTGTTGAGAAAGCACCCCAGTGCTCAACTATATCAAAGAACCCCAGAGCCATTCGTGCTCTGGCAAATGTTGCGATAAAAATATTAGAAGCAAGAGAAATAAGACATGCAGAGGTTTCGTCCTCACCTCTGCTGTTGCAAATTATCACACTAATTATAGATGGGATCAGCTTTCTGGGGCAATCAACTGCTAATCTCTGTCAGAATCACTTTGGAGAGTTTCAAGAAGTCCAAAGCCTCCTCAATCTTCTTCTTCTGATAATTGGAGAACATTCAGATCTTGGAGTTTTGGTGCTAGATAAAGTTAGTTTATTGCTTGAAAATTTTGTGAACATGCAGAGTAGAACGACTAATAGGCAACCTGCTCCTTTGATTCATCAGATGAATGAGAAAGGAAAAGGGGCTTCTATCATTAGGTCAAAGCTTATTCTTTATATAAATAGATTTTTGGTGGTATGCCTTGAAACTCTCAATTTATCTGGTGCACCCACTTCCCAAGTGTTTGATAAAGTGAAGCTTGTGGTTGAACGAGTACGTGGATGTGATTCTTATGCAGAACTATTGTACTCTATGCTGCTACATTCTCCAGTCATTTGGAGTATTACTGTAAATGAGGAAAGGAAAACTTGCAACTTTGACGAAACCTCGGGCACTTGTCTCCTTAATTATTCATCAGAGCATGAAATATTTACACTTGAATGTGCAAAGAAGATGTTGATGGAGAAAAATTACTGGCTCGCTTACAGAGCTGGGATACATGCAGCTGGGCAAGGAGGATGGGTTACAGCAGCTTTTATTTTTGGGCAGCTGAGAATAAAAGTTCAATCTGATTCCTGTATTTGCTGGTTAAAATCATTGGCTGAATTCACTCTTTCTGAGGGAGAAATCCAGCTTCTTCTCTTGCCAAAGGGAAGTTCCATATTAGTGGATTGGTTGAAGAAAAATCAATCACCTAAAACTCCTTTCCAAGATGTTGCTGCAAATAATGAAGGTAATTATGGTAAAGTTTTTCTTGGGGCATTCCACCTTTTATGCTCTTCGAAGGAAATATTGGAAAGCATTGACGCATCACGGACAACTTTTTATTTCCAAATATGGTTTTTGGCTGTAAGGACGAGGGTTATAGGAACCATAGTGGATTTGCTTGAAGTCCTACGCATGTACAACCCTAGCAATCTGAGGAAGAATGGAGATCTAGAGAAAAGTAAGTTGATACAGTGCAATTCTCTGCAACAAATTACTCAAATATCAATTTCGCTGAAGACACTGGCACAGGATCTTGATCTGATAGCGACCTCTTTTATTGACATGGACGAACATAGTTTGAAAATTATTGCAGCATTTGCACTAAGCTGTTCCATCTTGGCCTTTACCGCTGGATTTGCTCTTTCCATTCCAAAGTTACATAATGTCCAGAATGGTCTAGAGAGTTCACAGAATAACTTGCAGTCACTGTTAGTACAAAATCTAGTCAGGCGGTTGTGGCAGATAGACCCTGAGATCAGCCAAAAGCTATACCAGCTTTTAGAGGCTCATGGACAGCCAAAGAGCTGTTTCCACATAAGGTCTAGAAATCAAATACTGAGCATCGGTGGTGAAGTGAGGGATATTTTGTCTCTTTGTAATTATGCTGTTTCTGGGATTGCTCGCATGCAAAATGAAGTCAGTGAAGTGCATGTGGAAGATACTTTATCCAACAGCACTAAAGATGGTTTGCATCTTATGATGGATGTTATTATGAAATGGATTCACATTCCTTTCCAAATTCCGAAGCGGTTCTTCAGAGTAAGGTACGCTTTGAGAGCTTGACACGGGTTTCCAAATGGTATTTGCAATTGAACAGACCTATTTAGTTTTGCCCTTTTATATTTCTTCTACATAGTGGCAAGTACTTCACCAATCTCATGCAATATTAGATTCCAAATCTTCTCCTTCTAAGTCATTTGCAGAAACTTAAGAGCCATTATAGATGATCATAAAATCTTATTGAAAATAAAATATCTGCGCGTAAACTAGATTTAGGTTCAGTACAAAGTCAGTTGGACCACCATGCAGTTGTTTCCTCCAATTTAGATACTCTTCCTAACTTTTCACTAGAGGAACCACTACGGGTGATCTTAAGTTCCGCTTGCCCTTTCTTTTACCATTTGATTTAGATGGGGTTCAGTCTTGTTTAACGTTACTACCTTACATGTTTAGGCAAATGTAGGAAACATCTTTTGAACTATGTTTTCTGTAAGCATGATCAATTTGGTGAGGTCAGTAAATTTATTTTGTCTGGTTAACAAGATTTGAATCAAATTTCAGGCCTTGCATTGGTTCAGAGCTCTATGCTTTTGATGCGGACACCAGAAACTCAAATGGGTTATTTGTCATCTCAGGTTTCCACCTATCACTTAATCTTTGTCTTCAGCTAAGAAACATTCCATCAGAAGTCTCATCGAAAGTCACCAAGTTGTACTGCATCCTCTACTCTAAACCATCCTTTAGAATATCCAGAGAAGACGGCAAAACCAAGGAGCGAACTAAAATGGTTTGCTCAGCTTGGGAAGATGATGAAATTGTTGAAATGAACGAGAAATTGTTTCATTACGTTACAGGGCAAGAAAAGAAAATGAATGACAGCAGCAATGCCATTGGAGTCACATACGCCTATGTGTGTTTTGAAGCAAGTGAGAGAGGTCAAGGATTTTCAAATTGCCTGCTTGATGTTTCTTGTTTTCCAGTGGGTTCTTATCAGATCAAATGGCATAGCTGTTGCATTGATAGGCAGGGCTCTTATTGGACTCTTATTTCACTAAATTCTGGACCTATATTTTCTGTACGTAAATAAATAATACCTGTTTGTATAGAATATATGAGTATTTTATTAATGTCCATTGCTGGGTTTTGGATAAAATTGTGTATTTTTTCTATTTTTGATTTATGGAGTACTTAAAATCTATATGCTTGAGCTGTAGAAACTTAATGTGCATAACTTATTGTAAATATATTATATATTTAGATATAATATATTTACAATAACTAACTTTAAAAGGTGCCTTATCTCGGGTAAAGCCTTTTTAGATTAAGCTTTAAGAAGCTTAGTCCGTCATTAAGAGAGAGAGAGAGAGAGATATATATATATATATGTATATGTCTGCTAATAAATTTATTTTTATTATTTTTGAGAGAGAACTTATTAACATATGTATTTTTTTTCTATTTTATTTATACGCTGTTGAAAAAAACGATGTAATTAATATAAATGTTGCGTTAAACATTTATTATATGCTATTAATTAAATACCATCTCACATAACATAATCTAAACTTCGACGTTTTATACCCCTTTAGTCAGAGAATTTAATATCACATCATGTATAGAACATACATTTGCAATATATATGAATGATATATAATGTAAAACATAAATATAAGATATATAAAATATATTGCAATGTGGATTATATAAAGTTTTATAATTTTTTCAAAATATACAATATAGCTATAAATTTATTATGTAGCATACCAATCATAGATCTGGGTTCTCATCCCTATCGCAGTAGAAAAATTACTTCTTCCCCAATTTTTTAAAGGATTGAAATTAAAAAATAAACCTTACATCTAATTAGCATCCCAATTTTATTTTTTATTTTTATTTACCATCAGAACATTATGAAAATTTATATTTTAATAAAAGTAGAAAACATAATTACAAAATTTTCATATATAATCATAATATGTATTTTTTAAAGCAAAGCAAGTATACTGTCAGAGCTTTACTGATGTGCAAGCAAACAATCTCTTTTCTTCTTTTAGGATACTATGCACTTTCTTTTTTATTATTAACATAATTCTTTCATTCATTCATTCAATTTTATGGAAAGTCAAAGTGTTTCAATTTCATTTCTATTATGCATAAATATTTCTTCTTAGTTTATAAAAATAAAAATAAAATGTAAAACTAATATGGACAATTAATCATGAAAGAAAAAACTCACAAACAGATATCACTAATTAACATTAATAAAATAAAAATTATATTATTTAATAAAAAACTGTGTGTTGTATATATAACTCTAGAGAAGTACTTGAATGAATATATGAGAAGTGAAAACTAAGTAAACATTCAGCCAAAATAAATATGATAAAATCTGCTCCAAGATGCTAAAAAATAATAATATAAAGACACCAAAATTTTTAACATGAAAAACTCCTTTTCAATGTAAAGGATAAAAACCACGGGATTTCTCATAGTTCAAGTAAAAAAGAGCTCCACTCTAAAAATTAGTATTTACAACAATAATAAGCAACCGCTATAATTCTCAAATAAATACTCAACAACAAATCAAATAAACAATAAGAAATAAATAAGGGAATAGAGAAATATCACCAAAGCAGCTATTATTCATGCAAAGCGGATGCATTCGGATTATTCAAATCCGATCACTACCGTTCATATTAAAGAACAATTTATCCGAACATGCTCACCAACTTTCAGCCTCCTCAGACCACAAATGATTTGTTTGATCGTTGGAAAAAATCAAACTGGTCGGTGTCGGGAAGAAAAAATGTGATCAGTAATTTTGAATTGCAAGTACCGAAAATCCAACCGTCGAAAATCGATCTCCACCATTCAAAATGAAGAACAATGAGTCTCCTAACTACCACCAAATTTCAGTCTGATCTGTGTAAAGATCACCTTCTGATCGTGAAAATAAGCAAAACACATTGGATGTAATTTTTCCAGTGAAAATTTCCTTTTTTTTGTTCACTTTATTTTGGTGACTGAAAACTTGTTTTTATACTATTTCTTAGGGTTCAAATGGTATACCCATAAAAAAATCCTAATAACCCTAATGGACCAAAAAATAAGTGGGCTCAAAAAGTATTTGAGTTTTTCCACATATGAGGGAACCCAAAGCCCAACAATTCTCCTCCTCCCGACTATGTGGAGGAGTTTGCCAAACTGGCAACTACTTGACATGCTTCAAATTTTACTCTTGGTAAAGCCTTTGTGCACATATCAAAACCGTTATCATCAATGTGTATTTTCTCAAGTTCAAGTTGCTTAGAATATAAAACATCACGAACTCAATGATACCTCACATCAATATGTTTGGATCTATCATGAAAAGTAGGATTCTTACCAAGATAAATTGCACTCTGACTATCACAGAATAAAACATATCTCTTTTGTGTAAAGCCTTACTCATTCACAAACTTCTTCATCTAGAGCAATTCTTTATATGCTTTAGTCACTGCAATGAACTCAGCTTCTATAATAGACAATGCACTATATTTCTGCAATCTAGATTGCCATGCCACAGCTCTCCCTGTAAAAGTAATTAGATACCCAAAAGTAGATTTTCTTGAATCTATATCCCCTGTCAAATTAGAATATGTAAAACTATTGAAAATAAGCTTCTCAATCTTAAAACACAACTTTAAACTAGCAGTACCACGAAAATATCTTAAAATCCACTTCACGGCATTCCAATGCTCTTTTCCTAAATTAGATAGAAATCTACTAATAGTACCAATTGCATGAACTATATCTGGTCTAATATAAACCATAGCTTATATCAAGTTACCTACTACAGATGCATAAGAAATTTTCTATATGTCTTCTTTATCTTGCTCACTAGAAGGAGATTGTTTGACACTCAATCTGAAAGACATAACAAAAGGTGCACTTACAGGCTTAGCTTTGCCCATATTAAATCGTTGCAGTACCTTTTCAATGTACTTTTCTTGAGATAGCCACAACTTCTTGTATTTTTTATCGTGAGTGATTCTCATGTCAAGAATGTGCTTTGCTGGCCTTAAATCTTTCATTGCAAAAGATTTGCTCAACTTTTTCTTCAAACTATCAATTCTAGAAGAATTAGAACCCACAATGAACATATCATCAATATATAACAACAAGATGATAAAATTACAATAAAAAAATCTTTGCATAAAAACACAATGATCAAAAATAGTCTTCTTATAGCGATAACTGACTCAAACTTCTTATACCATTGTCTAGGTGCTTGTTTTAACCCATATAAACTTTTTCTTAATTTGCAACCATAATTTTCTTTTCCTTTCACATAAATCTTCAGTATCCATGTAGATTCTTCTTTAGTCACATGAAGAAACTGTTT